GGGGTTGTTTAGCATAAGCGCCAGAATGTTGAAAGTGTTCAAATACCGCTTATGCAGGGTCAGGAAAAGGAGAAAGTAGTTTCTAGATTTTCTGCCCTGTTTCTTCTCTTCGGAGTTTTTGGCCTCTATTGTTAGCCGGGCAGGAATAGAAAATAATTTGTAGGAAAAAAACTGGAACGATTTGGAAAACGCCGTGGGAATAACCGGATTTCCAATCATTCAGCCCTCACGAATTCGGCAATTCGATCCTAATTCATGAATTAATTCGCCGATGTTTCGGACCGCAGCCGGTGGGGTGCGACGGCGAAGTGGGGAGCGAGCTGAGGCTCGACGAATGCGGGGTGTGCGGCGGGGACAACAGCACGTGCCGCCGGATGTCCGGCTTCTTCTCGCTGCGCCGGCTGCCGCCGGGGTATAACTTCGTGGCGCGGATTCCGGCCGCGTCCTGCCTGGTCAACGTCACCCAGATCGCCCCGACCCCGAATCTCATCGGTATTCCTCCGCTTCTCTTGACCTTCGAAATAGGGTTGCCACCTTTGAATTTGACAAAATATGGACAAATGTGATAAATATACCCACAGCCACCTAAAGCCAAGGCGCCAATCGATACTTATAGAGTGGCCTTCTGCTTTTGACTTGCGGAAAATAACGATATTAGCTGCTATTAAGTTTTATTGAGTAAAATAAATCATAACTTGAAAATATGGACAAAACAGTGTCCATATTATGATTAAATATGTACTGTCCATACTAATTATGAACGGGTGGCAACCCTACCTCGAAGCGAGTCAGACGGTCCACGCATGTCCGTTTTCAGCCCTGAAGGAATCCGGAGCGCAGGGGAAATACATCCTTAACGGCGACTGGAAGGCGAGCGAGGAGAGGAAGCAGCACCGAGGCGCCGGGACAGTCTTCTACTACGGGGGCAAGGACTCCGTCGTCGCGCCTGGTCCCATCGCCACGGCCGTCGATCTCTTCGTAAGCGAGGCCGCGACGTTTCGCGACGTTTCGCGGTGGGCTTTGGAGGTGAACTCGTCTCGGGGTTTGAGTGCTTCTCTAAGAGCGGATTTTGAATTTGTGGGGCGGGGGAATCCTCTGGTCAGTCCGAGCTTGTTGCATTTTTCACGAGTTAAAGCGAGAATTGTCGATGAAGGTCAGTGATGACCTCGGAAGGCCAGCGACTCTCGCAATTATTTTCTTGCCAATTAATGAGTTTCGATTCAAATGTTGAATCGAAAAAACTGTCTTCGGACATCACGAAAATAAAGGATACGAAGGGGATGGCATCGAGTTGCAAGTTCCACGATCGGCTTTCGAATTTGGATTCCCCTCGGTGCAACGATGCATACGGAATTATTAAAATCGGGAGTCGGAAAATCCGAGAAATGATGCCGGAGAAAAGAATTTTCTCGTGCAGATCGTCTCTCGAGGGGAGAACAAGGGGCTGATCTACGAATATTCCATCCCTGCGATCCCGAGCTTCCCGCCAGATGGCAGCACAGGTCGAGCAGTCGATCGTGATAGTTTCTGCCTCGTGTGCGAGTCGTGCCGGGTCTAAACGTGTCGTTTGTGTCGCAGGAGGGTTGAGATCGGAGTCGGCAGGGTCCAGGTTCCTGGAGTCTCGGTCCCCGCTGCAACAGAGCGTCCTCACGCCTCAACTCCCGCCTGCGTTCTACTACGACGATGCTCATCCCGCACCGCGCAGGTACGTGCACGCGCGTGCGGCCGTTCGGCTTCGTTTTTCGTCATGACGGGGGTTTCAATCTGCTTTGTAGTTGGGACGTTGGAGACTCCTGGACGACCTCGTACGGCTTCTCCTGGGTCACGCAGGGCACGACCCCCTGCTCCAGGTCGTGCGGCGGAGGCAAGTCTCTTCTCTTTTCGCCCCGTCGCCGACGAGAGACGACACGGGTGACGACACGGTCGCCTTTTTCTACCTAGGGTACCAGACGACGAGGGTGGCGTGCATGAACGATCGGACGCGGACGGTGATCGCCGACTGGCTCTGCGACTCGCAGCAGAAGCCGACGCAGCAGATCGTGGCGTGCAATAATCAGCCCTGCCCCCCTCAGTCAGTCCTCATCGCCTCTTCATTATACTTTTTATTTTATTTATTTTCATGGGGGAGTGGAGGGGTTTGCCCGTACCAATGTAATTCTAAGGGGTCGAGGAAAAAGCCTAAAATTCCACATACGCTACACGACGAAGGGAAGGATAACTCGTGTTCGCTAAAATTCAGGTGGAAGGCGGGAGAATGGAGCGAATGCAGCGCCACGTGCGGACGAGGCCTGCAGACGAGAACGTGGCTCTGCCGACAGGAGATGTCCGCTGGGATGACCCTCACCGTACCGCACGGGGCCTGCCTGGGTCGGGACCCGAAGCCAGAGGACGAGAGCAGGGCGTGCATGAGGCCTCCGTGTCTGGGGTGGCACGCGGGTCCCTGGTCCAAGGTCGGGCGAGACACGAGGGCGGAGTGACGTCGGCGACGATGCGATTCGCGCTCGTCGGATCGTGGTGTAACCGATCGGATCGCGCTGACGTCACTTCTAACATCCACGATCGTCCGCTTTCCGTCTCTGGTGGAGGCGTTGGATGCATGCGGCTTGTTTTACTTTCAGTGTTCTGCGACGTGTGGCGAGGGAACGCAGGAGAGAGAGGTGAAATGCCTCGAAGGTGACGCTTCCGTGGTGGATCCGGAGAAATGTGGAGAAGATAAGCCGGAATCACATAGGCATTGTCAAGGCCTTCCGCCATGTGCTCGCACTCGACCCGTCTGGCTTTTCTCGGAGTGGATATCCAATGTATTGAATGTGTTTCATCCTCTTTCCTTTCCGACGTCTAGGAATTTAATCGAAAATTGTTTGTTCGATCGTGTAGTGTACATGCGATGGGCAAGGAGAAGAGACGAGGGATGTGGTATGTTTGCACGGCCGCGATTGCGACGAAGCTCTCAAGCCGAATTCAACGAAGGCTTGCGAGAGCTCCAAATGTCATGGGGCTCCTCAGTATGCTTGGTTCACCGGCCCTTGGTCTCACGTGAGAGATTCCCTTCGGATTCCCACGATCTGGCGTTGGAGTGTGCTACATGGATTCTTGGCCTGGTTTTTCAGTGTTCGTTGACGTGTGGAGGGGGAGTGAAAGAGAGGAAAATCCTCTGCCTCTACCTTCCGCTTTCCACCGTCACGGAGGATGAGGAATGCGACGGATTGGGCCTTCAAAAACCGCCTTCTTTGAAATCATGCAAGACGAGACGATGCCCTCCTCGCTGGTTTCGTTCTCAATGGTCCGATGTAAGTTTTTGAATCTCCAGTATTGCTGTTCCGCCTCGATAATTTGAAGTCCTAGTTGAACTCGTGCTCAAACACCAGCCTTGGGAAATTTTTGAGAGCATCATATACAAAGTGGAGAATCCTTCACGCCTCTGGCAGACTTGACCCTTTCTTTGGCAAATATTTCCTTTCCATGTACATTTCTGTGGGTAAATTACTGGTATGTTATGCCATCGCCACCATAAAAAACGTTGTTTAACCCATATAGTAATCATTCTTTAATGGCAGTTAATTTGTTTGCATTCTAACCCATATTTTCACCACAGAGCAACATTTTTCCACAATTTGTACTCACGTAACTGTAATCCTTCAGTGCTCAGTGAAATGTGGGATTGGGGAGATGAAGCGGGAAGTCCAGTGTCTGGATGAGGAGTATGATCCCTCTGGCTTCTGCAACTCAGTCATCCAGCCTCCCCATGAGATGATGTGCTCAATTCCTTGCACAACCCCTGCTTCTACCACCACCACCCTAGCAACTTTTACAACCACAGCTCAGGAGACTACTCCCACTGCATCGCTGACAAGCACCATTGCTAGTACTGTTGTTGAAGAACTTTCAACTACAGTCAACACTACACTGTCTTCATTTTCTGAGACCACATCTGTCAAAACAGGTGAGCTACAGCTGATCATTTAGTAAAAAAAATGGGGTACTTAGTAATTGTATATACACTTATTACATCATGCAATTAATAAATTAATTCTCAAGTACCTATTCATTGCTAGCAAATAAAAAATAAAAAAAAGGCTAAAGCTCTGTATCAGTTTATAAAGACTGAGGGAAAAATTCTCTGTTCACAGTCAACAACTGCTAATGGAGCAGTAGTAGTTTGGTATCTTCTGACAAGTCATTATAGTCCCCTTTTGGTCAGAGATAACAAGAACTATTGCAATGTAAACTAAAAGCTTGGCAATTAGTAACTAGTTTTACAGGTATACTAACTCCTGTTGGTAGGGCCAGGAAAGGTGCCAATAGAAATGATAATTACTGCCAATTATATAATTATTGGATTTTCTTAGGGGCTTTTCCTCTTGCAGTGAATCTGACCAAATCAGGGGGTCAGAAATATAATCATTGGATAGTATTTGAGTTGCTGATTGTAATATCAATACCAGAAGAGCATGACTTTTGGTAATTCATGGTTTAATCATCATCACTATTCAGTGAAAGGTCACTACTGAAAAAAAGAGTCTGGTTTTTCACAAGCCAGGAGTACTAGAGTTCAGGAAGAATAAAAACATGCCTTGATCCACCAAAAGATGATGCAGACCCACAAAGAACATTTTCCATAGCCAATTGGTCATTCAATGGGAATCAATATATTAAATGATGAGTTTTCAGATATAATCACCAGTCTGAAAGCAGTAATTCAACTCCAAGGCTGAAATGAAAAAACCATTGATTGTATCCATGTTTCATTTGGATATTCTACAATGACAACATACACACCATCCCTTCCATAACTGTGTACCATATGACTAGAACGAGTTAGCACAATTGCACAGCAGGGGTGAGAGAAAGAATAGAGACCTGAAAGTAAAAGAGAACAATCATCCTGAATGCATGGGTCTCAGTTTTATCACTACGATCACAACACATGTTTGGGCAGATCTTGACGTGATACCAGAAAGGAATAGGAGATCCAAAATGCAGAAATTCTGGCAGTGAATCATTCAAACTCCACAAGGACTTGATCCTCTTCAACAGTGTCTCCAGTTTTAATATGGATAGCCTTGACTTTTCCAGCTGAAGCTGCAGTCAAAGAATTCTGCATCTTCATAGCCTCAATGACGCAAACCTCCTGGCCTTCTGGCACCATCTGACCCACCTGAGCAGAGACAGATTTCACCACCCCAGGCATAGGAGCAATTACTGTCTTGGATGTGTCTGCCTTCACGAGGACAGGCATGAATTTCATGTAATCTGCTACTGATCCTTCCAGGACATTCACATTAAATGCAGTCCCCATGTATCTGATTCTCATCTTTCCTCCAGCTTTTCTCCAGATCAGTTGTGCAATATCATTCTTCCCATTCACCTTCATCTTGGCAACAGGCTCAGCCAAGTTGAATGTGTCAGAGACAGTTACCTTCTCACCATCAGCAAATGTGATAACATAATAGCCATCTTTCTCTACAACAGTGCAGGGAGTATTCTCTTCACGGAGATTCACAACAAACTCAAATGACTTTGGGATGACACGATGGGTTGGAGCTTGGCCATAGATCATACGCATTCTCTTCTTGTCTTTGGCTCTCATTACAGCCCCTATTGCCATTAGGGATTTCTTGACAGTGTTTGTAAGCTGAACCCCCTGGAAACCATCTGGGTACACAGTTGGCAAGTAGCTGGTGTTGATATCGCCCTTGCGGAAGCGGGCTTCGGTGAAGATGTCCCGCAACAAGGGGATATTATGTGTCACACCTCGAATCACATATTCATCTAGGGCTTGAATCTGCTTCTGGATGGCCAATTCACGTGTTGGGGCATATGTGACCAGTTTGCAAATCATTGGATCATAATAGACACTTATATCGCTTCCTTCTTCGATTCCACTGTCACATCGAACTCCTTCAAGGTGGTTGGGTTCAATGTATCTACTCAATCGCCCAATGGATGGAAGACCAAAGTTCTTTGAGGGGTCTTCAGCATATACTCGAGATTCAATGGCCCATCCTCGTACTGGGATGTCAGACTGCTTCAGTCTCAATGGATACCCCTTAGCACTTCGAATCATCTGATATACCAAGTCAACTCCTGTAATGCATTCTGTGATTGGGTGTTCCACCTGCAGTCGAGTGTTCATCTCCAAGAAATAGAAATTTTTCTGATCATCCACCAGGAATTCCACAGTACCTGCTGATGAATAGCCAACATGTTTTGCCATTGCAACTGCCTGCTCTCCCATGGCTTTTCGTAGCTGAGGGTCTACAAAGGGGCTGGGAGATTCTTCAATCACCTTTTGGTTTCTCCTCTGAATAGAACATTCCCTTTCATTTAGATAGATGGCATTCCCATGCTTATCACCCAAAACCTGGATCTCAATATGTCGAGGATTGCTGACATACTTTTCAACCAGCATCCGATCATCACCAAAGCTTGACTTGGCTTCATCCTTTGAGAGTCGGAAACCATCCTTGCATTCATGGTCATTCCATGCAATTCGCATTCCCTTGCCACCTCCTCCAGCTGAAGCCTTCACCATGACAGGATATCCAATCTGATTGGCAATTTCAAGGCAATGATCAACATCTCTGATCTCTCCATCATATCCAGGGATTCCATTGACATTGGCAGCCTTGGCAAGACGTTTAGATTCCAACTTATCTCCCATCTTGATGATGGCTGAAGCAGAGGGACCAATGAATGTAATGCCTTCAGACTCAAGAATGCCTGCAAATTTTGTGTTCTCAGACAAGAAGCCATAACCAGGATGAACAGCTTGAGATCCAGTCTTTCTCACGGCATCCAGGATGGCATCAACATTGAGATATGATTGGCTTGTGGGTGCTTTCCCAACACATACCTTCTCATCAGCCAATCGGACATGAACTGCATTTGAGTCCACGTCTGAATGGATGGCCACTGTCTTGATTCCCATTCGGCGGGCTGTCAGTATAACTCGACAAGCAATCTCTCCTCGATTGGCTATCAGAATTTTGTCAAAAGTTGGTTCTGATCTATTGATTGGATCTGTTGTGTAGATTTCAAACCATTTTGGGTCTAATTTGTGCTCAATGGAGCTGGCAAGGCGAGTCACAAGCTTCAGCTGTTGGACTCCCTGTCTCCTCAGCATGATGCCTCCACTTCCCATCAACCTCAATACTGCCATCTTTCTTTTGTTCTTTCTACTCTCACCAATGCATTCCAATCAATCTGTAAGAGAGAAGAGGAACACCTAAATCAAAATTAGCCCATGGTTTATGTATTATCCCTGAAGACTACTTTTTGTCAAGGCAAAAAGGTCTAATTTCAGTCATAGCACTTAAGATTTTCCAGTCCAATCTGAGTGGTGAAATTCTGAATTGTGACATTGGAAATTAAAAGTTCCATTATTTCATGATTTACACTATTCCACAACAGGATAAAACCACCAATGTTCAGATGGTTAGGCTGGACAAACCTTGCAACTCACTTGTCATGCCTAAATGGTACAAGCTGAGTACTTTTTGTTGGGAAGCATGACATGAATAGGTATGAGTGTTATGAAAGTACACCAGATGTAAGGTGGAAATCTGCACATAGAGTACACATTTTCATGTAATGGTACTCAATGTTCCTGAGTTTCCTGTGGAATATGAATTGAGACTGGTCTTCATATCATTGCTTTGTCACTTTAATTAAATTCAAGGGCTGAGCTTATCCTCAGAACACCCTAAATGTGGCCTACTATACTGAGACTGCAGATCAGTGTCCTTTAAAATTGCCTCCATACTTTGTCAGACTGAGAGCATGGTTAAACTCAGTGAAAAAAGTAAGCATAAAAGTAAAAGTAAGTGGCACTCCTGTAAGCTTTTCAAGCAGGAGTGGGAACATTGTTCTTAAACTTCTTGCAGGAACTTTAATTCCATTATTTCCTCATTTACATCATTCCCATACTGACTTAAATTAACAATTTAAACAGCAATGAAAGTCAATTGGGTTGAATTTTCCATCCTTTGATAGGTGTAAACAATTTTGCTTCAATTGAAGATTTGATCCTACTGACTTTTCAGCGTAAAACTGCTACAATGCAATTGTTTTTACAAGGCACAAAAAGCAAACAGGCTATCTTAACAGATTAGGCAAGTCATAGAGGACTGATCAGAAAAATCTGATAAAAATGACAATCACTGTTTTCCTCCTTCATGTGTAGATACTACACCAATAGTGGGTGCAGCTGAGCAGACCAATGACATCCCTGATGCACTGAATAGTCCCAGAACAGGGAAACAAAATGGCCCTAATTCTATCCCAGGTAGGTTACCCTCACTCATCCCAATTTAAATTTAGCTGACCTTAAAAATTCTCCAGAAGAACTTGTATTTGTATGGTTCCAGGTGGATTTCTAAAAGAAGGAAGGGGAAGCCCACGCCGAAACAACACGACAAACACTCTCACTTATCTTAACATGATGGCTTCAGCTAATGGGATTCTACCTTCTTATACAAAAGCATCATGTCTCATTAGAATGTCTTTCATTACAGACTCAAGTAATCATATAACATCACTAAGTCATGGAAAAAACAAACATGGCCAGAATTCATTGACAAAGGCAACATGCAATGTTAGATTTTCCATACAAGAACTTGTAAAGCATGAATTGATGGATGCGATATGGATGGGAGCTGACACCATTTCACCCAAGCCATTCACTAAAACCTCTTGCTCAGTTAATATGTCAAAAATCAAATTAGAAAAAATTGAAGACGCAAAGCTTAACTCTTTTGCCACTGCCAAAATGTCAGATACTCTGGGAAAAGCATCCTGTTATGTAAGCCATGATGCCATGATTGCCATATCAAAATCAAAAATTCTAGGCGATTTTAGTTCAAATGAAAGCCAGTTACCTGGTACTACAACTTCATGCGTAATCAGGATGATAATTAGACAACCTGACTCAAATAATTATATCCAGTCATCTATAGAAGCCTGGTCCCATAGCTTAGGCATTAGTTCTATGTCAAAAGCTTCATGTGTGATTAAAATTTCTTAGGCATATGCACCAAGACCAGTGAGATTAACCTGTCTTATCTGTGACAAGCAACTACCTGCATTCCAATTACTCGTACCGGTAGCATTGATTCCAAAGGGTATTTTAAGAGATAGTGATACATTTGCATGCTTCAGTGATTTTTACTTGTACTTGATGGAGGATTGCTGACATGATAATTAGGGCTGTGATGGACTGACATTCCCCCACAGATCCAAACTGCCAAGACACAATGAAGGTGTGCCCTCTAGCAGAGAAGGCTGGGCTCTGCCCTTATGAATACTACAGGGACAGATGTTGTGCCAGTTGCCAAAATACAGTCATATAGGAAAAATAATGATCTGCAGCTGCTCTCTTCAAGTCAGCTGAGCCCAGTGACACTGTAAGATTTTTTTGTCCTTTTTGATGTAATGCAATAATGTCATCACTTGCACTGTAGCTCTTGAGACAAACCTGTGATATATGTTCATTAGTCATAGTGCATCATTTCTCAAGCAGAAGCCTTTGATGTGAATATGAGCATGTGTGGGTTATGATGGAGTTGGTATGGAGTGGACAGTAGTCTAGGCATATTCTGACAACCATTTTGCTTCACAGGCAAAAAAAAATTTGGAATGGTGTTAGCCCAGGAAGATCTGCAAAAGAATGCACAATTTTGCTGCATACTGTGCCAAAAAGTAGTTAGTCTCAGTGCATGTATGTGCAAGTTTCTCTGTTGTAAAGAAATGTGCCAGTGTAGAGAAACATTCTGTAAAATTTGCAATCTAAGTTGGATATTGATTAACTTAGCAGTCAAGTATGGTCATCATGATCTCAGTCTTCTGGTGAAGCCTGATGGACCTAATTTTTGTGCCTCGCATTTAGAATTCTCAATAAGGTTGCATGGATTATATGTTCAGTAAATGAAGGCCAGGGCCAATCTATGCATGCATTGCATGTTATATTTTAAAACTCCTTGATTCCTCAGGAACAAGTTGTCATTGTACTTTGGCATTTTCAATTGGAAATAAACATTTTTTCAATTTCCAGTTGCCTTTTTCTTTATTCTCTATGGATGACGTCTTAAACTTTTATTTCTTAATTTGCTTTGAGTTCAATACTTTTTCTAGTGACTTTGATAACCAAATTGGGAACCGTCATTAGTTCATCCAATATATTTGTCTTGGAGTCAATTGAAGAAGTCTAGTGAAAAACTCTGCAGAAGAAGCCTAATTTTGATTTAGTTTAAAGACAAGGGTGTATTGGTGGCCACTTTTGGCCAATGAGCATATGGTTGATTATGACTCAAATGCATCAGCGAGTGCTGATCATGACATGCAGATAAAGAGCAGAGAACCATGATTTCAAATACTTATTGAAATAGACCTATTGTGATGCCTTGTTTTATGTTTTCACTCTTTTAGGGACTGTCACAATAGATGTTATGAAAACATCAGAATATTGACCTGAACAGTTGGTTCATCTATGCATTATGGGGAGGGAGGGAAGGGGTAATTCATTCATCTCTCATGCATGATCAGGGTGAAGTGTGACCATCACAATAAAGCCATCAATGCCTCCAACTATCAATAATGACATTGTGACAGCTATAATTTTTCTTGTTGCTGTCGCTAATCGTTTAGTCGGGTTCACTTTCTTTTTTACGTGTTCTTCCTGGGGCATTGGCAGTTTGCATACCTACAGATGGCATTGATGGTGCCAAACCAGCAATGAATACAGTAGTTGTCAATGCATCAGTACCACCCTATGAAAGACACCAGCAAACCTACTGTTATAGACACAATTATATGTGGGCATGCTGTATATACCCAAGAAACCACACCCATGATTCTGCATGCTACTCAAACTAGAAGACTTAACAAGTGCTAAAAACATCATGCATCAACATCCCTCCCATCATTTCAATATAGCAACAGGGGAGAATAATGGGGAAAACAAAAATAAAATATACCCATGGCATCCTCGCACCAGTATGCTCTCCAGGCCTCAATAAGAATGTATTCTGAGTAGCACTGATACCTCCTAATGAGATTAGTTAGCTAAAACTTTGTCTCAATGATTCTACAAAAGTTGTTGCATTTATTAGGTAAAACTTTTATTTTATTTAGTCAGGCAAAGAAAAACATTCAAAGGTAAGAGTCAATTTTATGAACCCAGGAACTTACAGGTAACAAAACACAAAACTGATAACATAAAAATATATTTGGAAAAAAAATGAAGGGCAGAGTCTTTTTTGGATGGCCTTAAGAGAAGAATCCATGTAAGGAATTGAGTTGGAAATTCCTGAAGGGATTAGTGCAAGCTTGCCTGATCCTCTGAGGCATTCACAGGTTCAATGAGGCTACCCAATTTCCAAATGGATGCTGCAAGAAATTCATCACTTACCAATAAACATATCTGAATACCTCATTTTCACTTTTGATAAATGGGTATGCATATGCATAAACTGAAAGTCAAGGGCCACCCATACAAATGATAATAAACTTGGTGTTATATAATTGTAAGCTTCAGCACCAAGGGAACAGGTGTATAATGCCTATCCAAGGTCTGAACCATCACTAAACACCTAATGACAGCAAGACAGGAACTCACTGTATTCTATTGAGGCATTATAACCAATTCTGAAGTTTAGCCATTGTGAGTTATGAGTAAAGATAGTCACAAATGCAATCTTGAAGGGCACTTGAAGGCTCGGGGACAGTGACAATTTTAAAATTACTTTTTTTATTTCAACTTTCAAAACCTTTCAATCAAAACTGGATTTACTGATAATGAAAACGGCCCCATTAGCACTGCAATCACCATTCTGTGTAAAGAAGTTGGTTACTTCAATTTTTTATTGCTAGGAACAGCAATTTCACATTTTTCAGCCATATAGGCTTAGAACTGATAACAGACCAAAAAATAACCAATATATGATAAGCTTTAGTTTTATACTTGTACAGTTTTGCTCTGGGAAGATGAATTGAACTTCAAAATAATCATATTTTCCTGAGATTTGCACATGGCTCTGACATACATTCAAATTGAACTTGGTGCATAATATAGAGGATACTTAAAAATAATTTCATACTTCCTCTGCCTCGCTTTGTGCGGAATGGGATCTTACTGTCAGTCTTTGCAGATCCCAGAAGTGGAGTTAATTACTTATGGCAAAGGTGCATCTTCTATCTGAGGCCTTTGGGAAGGAATAACACTCAAATAATATTAGCAATAAAAAAAACAAATCTGCATGGTTTAAACTGACTCTAAGCCTCTCTTGATACACTGTTTTCGGATTGAATTGGTACCCCCCCCAGGAGCGCTTCCATCAAGTATAGGCAGGACACCTTGTGGGAGGAAGGTGAAGTATTAATAGAACCATCCAACAACCATGTGGAGCATCAGGCTTGACATCTTGAGGATCGTCTGGAAAGCTTGTTTGATTATTTTGAAGTTCAATTCATCTTCCCAGAGCAAAACTGTACAAGTATTAATAGAACCATCCAACAACCATGTGGAGCATCAGGCTTGACATCTTGAGGATCGTCTGGAAAGCTTGTGTTTTCTCTGTTTTCCACTGTAGGGGGGTACCAATTCAATCCGAAAACAGTGTAATTGCTTCCATATTTCATGAGAAAACTATAATTTCACACATCTAATCCCATAATGTGGAATAAAATTCATGCCTAGCACTTTTAGAATCCAGCTCCTGCAGAAACCTTTCCCATATAAAACCTAACCATTGGGCTTCTTAACTGATTAAGATTCAGTATAAATAATTGGAAAAAGGTATTTTAATAAGGGCACATGCAAGGATCAAACCAGAACGTTCAGTAATGATGTCTCAGTTACAAGTAATTGGGCTATCAGATCTCCAAGGATGGACAAGCTGTAGAAGTACAAAAAGAATAGTAACTATGCTGCTTTTCATATGGCTACTATCAAAACGCATATGGTGTGGCTTTTATCCTCCATTTCGAAGGTATAACCTAATATTCAACCCGAAGAAACAAGCACTGGCATAAAATTCCTTCACGTTCGAAAATACCTTGAAAAACCTGATACCTTGTGGGCTAGATGGACCGAGTTTTTCGGGACAACTTTCAGAAAAACAAACATTTCCCATTCTTCCAGGTGTTTTGTGACATTGAGGGTGTCCTTTCCCACGAAAAGTCAAATGTAACAATCCTACCCAAGGTTTACTACGTCTCGGGTACGTTTTGACCGTACAAGGTTTGAAGTGGATTGCCATGTAGCATTCGCGGCCGTATATCGAACAAACACAGAAACACGGACTGGACATTAAACTTCAAATAAATACCGCACCACCAGGGCTAGGCCTGACCATTCCGTCCTGAACAGCAACGTCCTAGACTGACAGGCGATACCGGCAGTAAATGTCAGGCAGCACACGGAAGGTTGCGTCAAGGACATGGGGAGAGTGCGCGCATGGGAGAAGCCATACCATCGGCTGCGAGCTATTGCGGGGTTACGAAGCTCTCTGCCAGATCCCGCGGGAACGCATCCATGTTTGGCCTCCGGGTTGACCTCTATAGACTCCGCTGTTCCAACATGGATCCCCGCTGTTGCTCCTTACCTCTCATCGACCTCATTAGAAATCCAGCGTAGGATGGCGATCTATTTCGACAAACTCGTTCATAACCCTTCCAGAGTTGCAATCCACGTAGACCTCCAATGGCACAGCCAATCCTCGCATTTAGCTATCTCATCTTACAGCGAAGAAAAGGGAGGGATCGTAACTGTCTTCGATGATGAGGTAAGCCTATGCATAGACCTAACAGACTGAGGCTTTTTCTTTCCTGGGTGTGGTTGTGATAATTTTGATGATGGTAGTTTTTGCGACTTTGACATTTTAAGTATTTTTTATTATTGGATTGGTTAATGATAATTTATTCATATTGAACATTGTCATCCCAAAAGTTTTATTACATAATTAGTAAAAGTAGCTAAGTAAAGAAAGTAGCTTCGCAGGCATAACTCGAACTCACCTTGAACCACACCATCCTAGTTGATATCCAAGGCATTTATGTTATCTGTCTGATAGAGATATTATTCCATTTTTGGTAATAGCATTAATTCCTTGAACACACGACACACCCATATGCGTCAGAGGAATCATGCAACTGATATACATGATGCTCACTGGTTGCTCACAGCAATGCTCATGGGGGAAACAGGATCACGAGAGGAAGTAAAGTCAGAGGTGATTACATTTAAGTAGAGAACTTTAGCAGAAACAAATTATTATTTAATACAAAATTCTGGCATATGATGGCAGGAAATTATCCAATACCAGGTGTGTTCAAGGGATTAAGGGACCTCTTCACAGTTGCATTGAAGTCTTTTGCACAAAAACTTGACTCCAAAGTGGTTCCATCATCTGTGAGAATTGAAAGGAGTCACATACTGACAAAATGAGTGAATATGATTGATCCTTAAGAATTTCCCACTTCCACTCAGAACTTAAAGTAACATTGTCATACAAATGGATCCTTGTTTTATAGTGCAATAAATTGTCAGAGGAACACATTACTTTCCTTGTGAAAATGTTCTAGATGTGTAGCAGCAACTCTCATTCAGGTATAACAAATCAGCAAATTGATGTAGTGTACACTTCAATAAATGATATGTTGTTAAGCTTTTTGGTGATGATGTGATGTACTGACAGTGTGTGTGAATTTCTATCTTTTGCTTGAAGTTTCTTCCAAGTCATATGTATGTCCTATTGAAGAATGCTCTTCAGCTTCTGCATCTCATTGCTCAACCTGTTGTCAGGTCATCAAAGGCACAATGTATTATCCACAGCTGTTTCACCACTCTTGAAAGTCAGAACCCATCACTGAACTGTTTTGTGTATAAGAGAAGCATCAACATGAGCATCATACTAGTACCATGCTGTATGAAGTTCAGTGAGTGTTAAGTAACACTTTGAAATTATATGTTGCAAAGCCAACACTTCAATCATTTTGATGAGCCTGGCTACTGCACAACTTGTTGAAAGATGATACAGCTATGAACATTTTTTCAGCAATGAGGAAGCAGTATAATGACAGTGTCACATCATTCAACTGTTCAATTCTGATTCATTCCCACATTAACAAGCAATTTTTAAGACTTTGGGAATGACCCTTGTACCTGTGTGTTAGTTTATGCCTCTTCTGAGGTCACATATACCTCTACTATTTATATCCCTGAGTATATCATCAAAGATATTCAATTTCCCAGATGTTAAACCAATTGTGTTTCTAATGATTTTTTCCAAAAGGGGGAGCCAATTGAGGGGTTGGAGATTTCCTCAACTGCCTCAGCCCAACCCACTGCAATTGCATGGCATCCACACAAGAAGATTTTAGCAGTTGGATGGGAGTCTGGTGGCTTGAGCTTATGTAATGCTGCTGAAAAGCAATTTCAACCTGTACAGAGCCTTCACCAAGGTCGCCTTGGTCTTCTCCAGTGGAGCTCACAAGGATCTCGACTCATCTCTGCAGACTCAGTGAGAACATCAACTCCTCATGAAAGATTGCTTTCTTCAGCAAGAAATTCTTTCTTTTTTTAAATTCTAAAATGGTATTTCTCTGAAAATGCTAGCATTATTATTCAGGCTGGCTAATTCTTTATAAGCCTGAACAGCATGTCATCAGTCTAATAAATTGATACTTCATAATTTCTAGGATGGTGCAGTGGTTGGCTGGAAATCAGATGGCCGTGGTTCTCTTCAGAATGTGTTTCATCATGATTTGAAAGATCCTCTCGTGCAAATGGTTTTCCGAGCAGTCCCTGAACCTTTGGGAGCTTTTGATCTCAGGTATGGTAATCCAACCTTGTCTTCTTGGGGATGGGTAGATACATGTACTTAAGGTCCTGCTTTGTTCATCATTTATAATGTCATTCTCACATTCTGCTATAGCGGTCTTGCAAGGGCAGCTGTCAACGGAGATGAACGAGCACTTGACCTCTTTAGTAATTGGAGACCAAAAACTGGAGGCAAAAGACAATCATTCAGTGCTGAAATGAAGGAGCATTTAGGGTGTTTCATTGGCTCATCTTCAGGTAAGTGATTTGCTGTCGCCATGTTGCTTTAAAAAGATATATAATAGATACTCCAACTTTCACCTGATATGCTATTTGAAGTTGTCTTGTGATTACTAATGAGGATTATTCTTGAATGGTTAAATCATGGGGCAATCTAAAAGAAACTGGTTGAACTTTCAATATTAGAATTATGCTTAAATCAACTGAAAGTACTGAATGTTTTTTCCCCATTTGAGTTTAGAAGGCATAGATTCATCCATTTAAAGAATCATTTCTTAGTGTGACCTTCATCTTTTGCGATGACAGCTTCAGGAACAGAGATGTCCCAGGAAGAATGGGATAATCTGCTTGATCTTGATCTTGATTAAGATTCAGTTTAAGTACTTGTTAAAGCTGTCATTAGTGGACATGGAGAATATATTCAGTGCAGTTTCTAAATAAGGTATGAATGGTTCATGCATGTGAGGGGAAGACTAATGCAATTCTTAGAGGCAACCTAATCAATTGATTCTTCCCAGTTAAGTAAAAAGAAATGAACTCTTAATTATGCTCTCCAAATGAATATGCCTATTCTCCTATTGAAGTGCATGTTGTCACAAAAGAAATGTCTTTTTATTTGTAGGTCGAATATACTATGTGAATGACCAAGGGCTCTGCTCAGAAGTATTGGAAGCAGATGGGGGAATTAAAGCACTTCTCTATCATGAGGCACGTGATTTATTAGTAGTTATAACAGACAGTCTTGTCCTTGGCCAGTTTCAAGTAGATTCTGATGGAGCTCTGACTGAAATCAGCAAGGTAGGTTTCAGAATCATTTTTCCAGTCTTATGCACTTGAATGAAATCCCTTTGAGATCTTTTCTGTAACCACTTTCCAATTTTTATTAGGTGAAACTGAGTGGTCGTCCAGGTGAGGCTGTGTTCACATGGGCAGGCAAAGGACTTTTGGCCATGGGTGGAGGAGAATCCTTTCTCAGGCTCTGGGATTTGGATGGTGGAGATAATTTTGTTCTCTCTCTTGAACCTCCACATTTTAGACATGGAGCTGAATCCATCACCTGTATTTCTTTTTCCTCCAGAAAAGGTATTTTCTCAGTTCCTCCTAGATTCCTCCAATTTTGAGGGTTTGAAGAGTCAAAATGGACTGAATTTTTTATATTATTATCTTGATCCAGGTGTTTTGGCTGCTGGAACAAATCATGGCAGTGTGGCTTTTTGGAAGTATAATACCCCCATGAAAACACCAGGGGTGCAGAGTGATCCTGAAAAGGATTGGACTCCACAAACTCCTGCTTCCCTCAGTGGGGCCATCAAGCAGCTTCACTGGGGATCCCAGAAAAATCTCTTGGCTGCAAATGTCGTCAGGGATGTCTACATCCTCAATGAGCAGATTCTCTGTGCACATTTCAAAGATCAGGTAAGATAGGTTTGCTGCATTAGTTTTCTTATGCTATAGACAGGAGGAGAATCTTTGTGACAGGTGTAGAAGTGACTCCATATCCATCTATCTGCCAAAATCTCATGTACATTGAAAGATGAAATTGCTGAGGTAATCACGGGGAGAATGCTTATGACAGACTGCAGTCGTCCAGACGAGCCCAACTCAGCTGACAGTATTGATGGAAGAAGAGACACGGCTGGATCTTAGAGCTAAGATCCAAGTGAGTGGGGTCAGTGCATCAAAGGAGCACCTCACCGTCTGGGATGGCAAGAATGTTGTCACTTATGAACTTGCTCCTCTCACGAGGAGCTTCAAATACCAAGGTCCGTCACATGGTGGACATTAAGTCCTCCTGATTGCACGAAGAAGTCTCATCTCCTGTATAGTATAACTCCAAGTGGTGTTGGGATGAATACCAGCCATGACTCACCTTTCTGCCTCTTTTTCTTTTCTTTCAGCTTCTTAGATTAGCAAATTGTGTATTGCCAGACATGTCCATACTTGAGATTGTTTTAAATGAAGAGGAATAAGGGAATGACACTGACAAACTTTTCTCTTGATGTATTTCTTTCCTCAGAGTGTGTGACACATGGGGAAAATTATAATCCCTTATGTGGATTATTTGCTAGAAAATCATTTAAGACAAGATTGAAAATCTCAATCATGGACTAATTTTCTTTGTGATTACAGTATATGATAGTGAATGAGTAGCTCTGTTTCTAATCTACATTTCCTATTCTCACCTTCTTGCATGCTGTTTGCTCCCAAAGTTGCTTTGGGAACCAACCAACTTTCATTATGACGTTTCACATGAAATAGAGTCTGGAATGTTCAGTGTTTTAGGTATAAGTCTAAGTCAACAAGTTCATGGGGAAAAATGCATCAGGGAATGAATAATTTAGCACTGAATAGATAAATGAATGTATTGGACTTGTGATAGGTAGCAGCGGTTCAGGTGCGATCCTCACAATTGTCAGTGGACCTTCTTGCCAGTGACGCACACTTGGAACTTCAAACTCAATTCCCAGTCAGACAGGCTTGTGCCAGTGTGGATCACATAGCTGTTTTGGGTGCTGGAAATCAGGTGGCTGTCTATGAAATAACTACACCTGGATCCTCCATCAAAGAACAAAGTATTCCAAAATCTCTCTTTACACTCTTCAATGCACTGGGAGCGTGACAGTGTGATCTATCCTGAGTGGTTTGAATTTTTATCTCCCTTTTATCATCTGAATGAAACCCTGGATATTGTTACTGCTGGGTAGAGATCGGATGAATTCTAAGACCCAAAAGTTGAAACTTCTCTTGAGCAAGAAAAAGGGGCATTTAAGCTGAAGAGCTCTTTTCCCCCTTTTGAGTCCTGATAATTCTTGAAGGACTGTTAACTAAAGGAGACTTCAGCATTCAGCCCTAAATATTTGGGTTTATTGCAGTTCAGTTTTCTGGGGGGGTCTAGGTTCTGTTCAGGAATATGTACAATGGTGCAATCAATCCACTATATGAAAATCTGAGATATTTGGGTTTGATGTATGGTTCAGTTTGGGTAGGCTGAAAAAAATATAAAGAAATTTGTGTGGGGTAAGGCCATTATGGCATTGTAAACCAGATGGCAATAACCATGATAGATTGTCATCACTTTGTTCCGTAAGGTAATGGTCTTAAAAATGAAACCTGACCCTACAGAGATTAATACCTTCAGTTCAAGTTCAACCATTTGGACAAACTATTGGGTTTGAGTTAAGTTCCTCTTCAGTTGTGATTTGGCTCAGGTGCAGAAGAAATTGGGTGATGTTTAAGTCAGTCTAGTTCTGGTTGAAATCTGATCTCTACTTTAAATCATGGTTTGAAGTTTCTTCCTCCCACATTCAGGTGTACACTTGCAATGATGAAAGTTTCAAGTGCCTGCCAATTTTTCATGGGAGCTTGATTTTTCCCCCAGTTATTCTATTGTATTTGCATAGATGTTCTTTAAAATTCATCTGCAGTTTGTCTTCTTGGCATGATGTATGCTGCATGGTTCATGTTGATGTTGCATGTGTTGGAATGACATTCTTATTATTGGATATTTATTTTAATAATAGGACTATTATGAATGACATTTTCTTGTAGGTTTTAGATTATATCTTTTCTGGCTGTTGATCAGAGATGATGAGATCAAGTACACTAAAGGTTTCTGCCTGTCTACTCCAGTGATGCATAGGTAATACTACTTTAACTCTACCTCAATAATTGTGGTAGAATTGAAGTAGAATGACATTTAAAAACCAAGAATGGAAGCTGCTTCATCAGCAATTTGAGAGGAGGAATTTTAGAATAACTCTTCATTGTGAAAGAATATTACTATTACTACATGTTTCATATTCAAGGAAACCAAATTGAGATTGTAATTCATGATACTTTTTATTTATTATTATTATTATTTTTACTGATGATGAGTCTCAGAATGATTACCTCATTCATAACTCAGCATTAAAGGGAAAAGAGCTGTGTATTTGAAATTTTCAAACTGATGACAGAAAACATCATTCAAAAAGTAAAATGCACTCAGCTTGTCAGGGATCCTTGAAAGTAGATCTCATCATGCAGGTCCTGCATTCACTCTCACCTCAATATTTATTGAGCCTTGATTCTTTGAACATCCACATTCATGTTCTTTCCTTTTACTATATAAAGCATTTGAGAGAAAGATATCGTATTAGATTCTGAATGTGACTCCAAATTGCTTTTTTCCATGTGCTTATCACTTTATTACTTCAAGGAGACTCTAGCAATTTAGCAAAAAAATTATACAGGTTACAACCTTGGATTTTGCTGGCATATAAAATTATAGTATTCTGCCAACAGAAACTCTTATGACCAATAGCTAGCATTGCTATCCCAACATCTGAATTCTTTCTCATGGGCTATTCATAATATTCAGGTCTGAAGTGGATTTTGGTGTTATCCCAGCCTAGCCTCACATATCATTAGGTCTCCTCTTCCATGTACTCTTGTCAGCTTTGCACCTGAGAAGAGAATAAATATCAGATAGCAGAAATATTAAACCAATATGTTATCATCTGTGAAAACTGTCTACCCTGAATATACCTAGTGGAAAAGCATAATTGGGTACAATTTTATGGTTTAGTTCAGAGAAAACATGACTGTACTATCTTGTATAAGCACAAGAAGAAATCTAGCTCCTGTTTATATAATGTGGTAGTTGTTGAGGCTCTAAGTAATCCACTTCCATGTGTGAGTGTTCCAAAAGTCTTTGTTAGTATGACCTATGTATATCATGAGGACAAATGCATGGATATAAGTCACACACAAGGAGAGTGGCAGATATTCCCAGGCTATGACATAGAGATATGTGAATTATGGCTTATTCTGCCATGTTGGATTTTGAGCATTAGTTCTGTAGTGACAGATGATAGGCTTCCCATTGGACAGAATATATATTCCTTGATTTTTCCAATATCTTTTTTACTAAGTTTGATTCCAGCTGCAAAATTTTCCCACCCAAGTTTCATGAATTACATTTCCTTCGTCTCAAACTTAAACAGCACAAGTTCTACTACTGTTTTCCTGAAAGATGTGCAGACACCATACTGATAGGAACAAAGCCATGAACTGGGTGATTCATTCAACAATTGCTACAGATCCATTTTATTTTTCTGTTCCTTATTAAAGCCTACTTTATCATGCATGGACTTCACACCTAGGCTTAAATGAATTGAATTTATATTTCATATTGAGAACCCCAAATGACATCCATGCCCTTGGAAAATGCAGGTTCCTTCACTGCAGACTGCGATGGCCTGGCCATATTTGAACAGACACTGTTCCTCATTGAAGATGGGAAGGTTCAAGTTCGTACGTTCCAGGGCACTGTCAAACAGACTTTGAACTTCTTGGAGAGTGAAGGAGAACCCATATCCCTCGACATCAATGGGACATTCCTCACTGTGGCCACATTAGCTGGTGTCATAAAAATCTGGGATTTTTCACGAAGGTTTCATTTTGTTCTGCCAATCACTCTTAGTCATGGAAAAAAAACTTTGCTTCAATTGCTATATCCTTGTTCTTTTTTGCTTTCTTTTTTTCCAGGGAAGCTCATCCACACTGTCATCCCAAAGTCCTTCCTGACATTATCACAGATTTTGGTGAGATCATCTCTGCCAAGGCAAATTGTAATGGGACCCGAGTTGCTGTCGTCATTGCCACTGTAGGTGTTATACTCCACATGTCTGATAGTTGTGAGACTCCAGGCCTCCAATGTAGTTTTTATGATCTGGAACAGATGAACTTGATGCCTGATCCCAAGCTGTACTTATGGGATTTGGATGGAGATGCTTTCACCTATTTCAATTTTGCTTCTGGGTGTGCTGAAGAAGATGACAATACACCTCCCCCCAACTCAGCCAACTCGTCACAGTCTCGAGAATTCACTGCTCTTGAAAGGTGAGTCATAATTCACCCAAAAAATCAAGAAGTTTATTTATTGGGAATGTATTGTGCAAAATGAGATGATTTCTCTTTTCCATCAAGGACAAAATTTGAGTCAGCAAAAGAAGTAGGTGGACGATTTGTTCTGTCTCATTTTTGGGACCCTGAAGAGCCAAGGCTTCTAGTGTGTGAGGCCAAAAGACTCCCACAACCAAAGAACGAAAAACTAGTCAGTTCCCCTGACCTGAGCATGAGTTGGGCACCAGATCGTGTAAGATATTTCATCCCTTTCTGCCAAGTCTTCTTGAACTTCCTTTCCTCATTTCTCCTTTTCATATTCCACAGCCTGAAGTCATTGTGGTCCCCATGTTTGCATCAGGAGAGAGTGGACTAATAGTACAAGATTCCTTTCCTCTGGGACCTGATCACAACAGGTTGCTAGGCATTCAAACACCTTTCTTCTACCTCCTCAGGAAGATGGAAATTGTTTCTGCTAAGGTGTGGCATCATTATGTGCCTTTTCTTTTGGCCATATTTTAAAATGAATTATTTGAATTTAAGAAGGAAAATTATTTATTTATTTATCAAAGGGTCAGTTGGTTGATGAAAGGGTGATGAGAGACTTTGTGGGACTAGAAACCAAGGACAAGACCACTCGTGGTGCCATGATGAACTTCAGCTATTTTCTCAGTATTGGGAATATGGATGAAGCCTTCAAGGCAATTAAAGCTATCAAGAGGTTCTTTTTCTTCTATCTCAACTATTTTGATTTGCCCTTTATAAAAATGGTTGCCTCCTCATTTACAACCTCCTATATTGTGTTTAATACAGTGAGGCGGTGTGGGGTAACATGGCACGCATGTGTGTGAAGACAAAGCGTCTGGATGTGGCAGGAGTGTGTCTTGGTCATATGGGTCATGCTAGAGGTGCTCAGGCTTTGAGAGAGGCTCAAGTTTTGCCTCAGCTGGATGCACGGGTTGCTATTCTTGCCTTGCAGCTTGGCATGGTGGTATGTACATGTGGCCTTCTTGGAGCTCCACAGATGCCAGATTGAGTCCTCCACAGATTTTTTCTTCTTCCTAGGATGAGGCCAAACGATTGCTCAAGTCGTGTGGCCGCTATGATCTCCTAAATGAGCTTCATCAAGATAGTGGAAAATGGGATGATGCCTTACAGCTAGCTGCCTCGTTTGATCGAATCCACCTTCGATCTACTCATTATAACTTTGCCAAAGATCTTGAATCTCATGGTAAGCACCTATATTATTTGTAGAAATCTCTGAAGTTGTCGTCAAAGGAGAGGTTGCTGAAATTATCTCATTTTGTGATCATTTGCTCATGATGCCTTTGAAATGTGGTTTTTGCAGGTAAGATAGCTGAAGCCATTGAACACTATGAAGCCTCTGAGACACATCGCTTTGAAGTGCCGAGAATGCTCTTTGATGAGCCTTCTGCTCTTGATAATTATGTAGTCAAGAGCAAGGACAAGTAAGTCTTGGGGAATGGTTCAGTCTATCTTGTTATGAAAAGGCACTACTCCAGCAATGCCAAATTGAAATTCATGTGTTTTATCAAGGACATTGAAGAAGTGGTGGGCTCAATACTTGGAGAGCATAGGAGACATGGATGGTGCCTTGCAGTATTATGAAGCAGCTGAGGATTACTTCAGTCAAGTTCGAGTCCACTGCTATTGTGGCAAGACTGAGAGAGCAGCTGAGATTGCAAATGAAACTGGAAATCCTGCTGCATGCTACCACTTAGCCAGACAATATGAAAATAATGATATGGTCCGCGATGCCATTCACTTTTATGGCCGAGCAGGTGCATATGGAAATGCCATTCGCATATGCAAGGTATCCTTTCTTTGCCTTTGGGCTGTCACTTGTTTGGACAGGAGGGTTTGTTATGAAGTGGGGTGGTGAATGAGATGGTGTTGCATAATGTATCTTTCAGGAGAATAATCTGGATGACCAGCTGTTGAGTATGGCCCTGCTGGCAGCACCCCGGGATCAACTGGAAGCTGCAAGGTATTTCGAGAGTGCCGAGAGACCATCTTGGGACAAAGCTGTTCTTCTCTATCACAAAGCAGGGCTCCTTTCCAAAGCTGTGGAACTTGCTTTCAGGTCCTTCATTGCAATCTCATTAATCTCCTGTTGAATTTTTTCTGCATGTTAAACTGAGTTTTTCTTTGCTTTTAGGTCTCAGCAATACAGTACCCTTCAGATGATTGCTCTGGATTTGGATTCCAAGGCTGATCCCGCCCTACTCCAAAGGGTGGCTGATTACTTCCTTGAGAATAATCAGTTTGACAAGGCTGTTGACTTGCTTGCCATAGCCAAAAAGGTATCAATGCTCAAACTGCTGAGTAAATCCATGGCCCTTTAATATTGCATTCCTGTGATTGATTTGCAAGTGGGGGCTCATCAAAGAAATGCCTATTGTTCATGCATCATATAGACAGTTTATGATGTTTCTTGTCAGTATTTTGAAGCCCTGGATCTTTGTGTGGAACACAACATCCCAATCACAGAAGAGTTAGCAGATCGGTTGACAATGGATAAAGGTGAAATGGATGAAGGAGCAAGGGCAAGGGTGCTTGAGAAGGTTGCTGAATGTGCCTTCACACAAGGCAATTACCACCTTGCAACCAAGAAGTTCACCCAGGCTGGTAATAGGGTATGTTCAGGAAACATTCTCTTTTTTCTTCATTTGCTACACTGAAAATTAAGGAAATGTTTCCAATAATTACTTTTTTTTGCAGGTGAAAGCCATGAAGGCCTTACTGAAATCTGGAGACACAGAAAAGATTGTATTCTTTGCCAATGTCTCCAGACAAAGGGAGATCTATGTTATGGCAGCCAATTATCTACAGTCGTTGGACTGGCGTAAGGATCCAACTATTATGAAGAACATTGTTGCCTTCTACACCAAAGGAAAAGCTCTGGATCTCCTGGCTGGTTTCTATGTAGCCTGTGCTCAAGTATGTCAAGTCCCTCCTTCTCTGCCCTTTAATGCTGCAACACAAACAAAGGAGTATCTCATTTTGCACCCAGGTGGAGATTGATGAATATCAAAACTATGAAAAAGGCCTGGAAGCCCTTGTTGAGGCATATCAGGCCATGAGCAAGACTCAGGGAACATCTCCACAACAGGTGGAAGAGAAGTTGGAACAAATAAAACTCCGAGCTGAACTGGTCAAGAAGTTTGTGGATGTTCGAAGGTATGCATATCCTCCTTCCTTCTCTTTCATATGATGTATTTCCACAAAGAGGAATAGAATATTTGCTCTGGTGCGGTCGGTTTCCAGTCTCTATTTGGACGATCCCAACGAAGCCCTGAAGCAATGTCGAGATCTCCTGGCAGAAGACAAGGTGGAATTGGCTGTGCGAAAGGGAGACATCTATGGATTCATGGTGGAGCATTATGCTCGTGTGGGGAACTTCAAGATGGCATACACTCTGATTGAGGAAATGCGCCACAAGATCGATAACCTCAATCTGGCCTATTACATCAACATCGAGACTCTGAACAGCATTTCAAAGGCATTGGATGTCCCGCTGTCGACAGGGAAGGCAGCCGATCTGATGAATGGGAAAGGTGGAAGTGAAGAAGACGAGGAGGAGGAGATCGAGGAAGACACCAGTGGTGAGGCAGACAAGCCCATGGACCCCTTCTTTCCCAGGGGCACTTATTTTTGAAAAAGTGTCTTTAACCCTTTAGGGTCCACGCCTGAGTTATCTTGTGTTGGCCTCATGATGAGGAATGGAAAAAAACTCAGATGACTTATCCAAAATACTCGGACCCCAAAGGGCTAAAAAAAAAAGGGGCCCAAAAGTAGTGCTTGTCACAGCTTTTGCACTCCTGATGAAAGTGGTGACCCAAGATTTTTCCGTCCAGCTCTTCTTTTGTATCAATGGTCGTATTATCTGTGAGGTCAATCATGGCAGCTGGGATGGACATGCAGTTTGGCATTTCTTAAAATTCCCAAGAAAAAGGTCATTTTTATACATTTTGGTGGTATGATACATCCCAGAATATTTTTGTGCAGCGCAAACAGACTTGAGCACATGACATTAAATCTTTCACTTCCTGTGATCTCACAATTCATCTGTCCACTCAAGAAGATTGTTGCAACATTGCCTCGTGCCTACACATTCCTCACTTCTGTGTAATTCACAAATGGTTTTTATTTTATATTATTCTTTTTTTTTGTTTCCTTTGGTACCTGTATCATCTGTGATCTCATTCAGGCAGCTTGTCTTTGATCTAGCTAGGATCCCAAATTCCTTTCAGCCGGGGACAAGCCTGCGGAATACCGGTAAACGTGCTCATGGGTCTCGAACAATCCTTTGATGTCGTGGTTTTGTTTTGCACATCCCTGGAGGCTAGTTTCGATCGCAGTGCCATAATTTCAACTGCATGGTTTGGCCATATCCAGTGTGATTTTGTTTGTCTACATGACTTTGAGTAATATTATACACTGCAGTTGCTTTTGTTGACTCCTGATGTGCTCTTTTGCTCGGTAGCAATACTTTTTCGACGTTTGTGTTCAGTATTAATGAGGACCGGGAACGAAGCCTTCTCCTGATCCGAAGGAAATGATGCCATCCACTCTGAGTTGTGCAGAATGTGATTCCTTTCTGTCTGCAAGAAACTGGTGTCTTACATCTCTGTATTTATTAGCTGAATGACATCTTCTTGTGTCTGTGTGGTCTTTCATTTATTATCCTTGAACGAGTTCCTGGATCAGATGCGTGCAGTTCGTGCCTCATTGTGCATTTGGCAGACAGATCACATGGAAGGAGACTTGGAATCGTCGCCGTTATCCACGAAGCGGCGACATTTTCCAAAAGTTTGCCTCTAGAACGCAACAAATACATGCGATAGACACCAGCAAGTAGAGATGTTTTTTCTTAATCCGCTGTCGCTTTCGCGAGTGTCAAAAGAGATGTAATGGACTGATTCTCATATACCGCGTCGTCATACGAGCAGTGGCGTAGTGAGGGGGTGAGGCTTCAGCCCCCCCAGCTCTGGTCGAAATGCGTCCGCCCCACCCCGACGAGGCGAAGTTAGCCCCCCCAACGTCCCGCTTAGCCCCCCCATTAACGAAAACCTGACTACGCCATTACGAGTGCACTATATCCTGTTGGAGCTGGACGTGCTCAGCGACAAGCATTGCGCTTCGCAACAAAATGTAAATGCCTCTGGAAGGGCATTTATCATGAGCAGTGGCGTAGCCAGGTTTTCTTCAATGGGGGGGGGGGCTGAAGCCCCCCAGCCCCCCCCCCCTCGTTACGCCACTGACCGTGAGAAAAGGAACGTGCACATGTGGGCAACAGGAATCGTCCAATAGGATGTGTCTGCAAGAAATCTAACGATTATCACTTTCCAGTTCGTACACGAGTGGGTCAAACTTTTCGTCTCTACAAAAAGTGGTTTCGGCGACTCGTTTATTGAAGAGGAATTCAAGAATCGTAATGGTATTAAGATTCGTTTACTAGGGGAATGCAGATCCATTCCTCGTTCCATCCATTCCATTCTCGTGGTTCCTCTCCCTTCTCTCGTCAGTCGTGCATCTCCAATCGCTCCACTCCATGATTCGATTGCAATCTCCCGTTTCTTGAGAATAATTTTTTCCTTTGAACAACAGAAGCGTGACGTTATACCTGGAGCCATGATTCGAGTTACAACCCGGCATTTATGGGGTTTGGAGAAGTGTAAGCGTAGCGTGGATGGAAAAAGTGTGAGGAAATGGCTCAGGGACACTGCTCTCATCCATTTCATGCAACTCTTCCTCAGTTTTAGTTCAATTTTTGACAAATTGGGGGGGCACGTGTTCTTCCCCCCTTTCCTTCTCCATGGAGACGCAAATTTCGGTGCTAAACCGGAGCGCAGGGAACAGGACCGTGCAGGGTATTGCGTTCACTTGATCGGTTACTGCGCGAAGCGACACCTAATAGAGCGACTTGTCCCTAACTGGATTCCACAGGCTGAGTCCCGAGTACAGTGACCGAAGGATTTGGCGACTAGCGGTCAGAGAGCAGAAGGATTACCCTCACTCGGAATAATTCACAGCAAACTACGCAGCTTAGAGTAGCAACAAAGAATTAATTCATGATTTCATATTTCTTTCGGGATTCGGTCGCGTTTTGTAATCGACATCATACTTTTTGTGGAGATCACGAATGTGAATGGCTTTGTTGGACCCGGCAGCACTGTAGGAGTTGTGTACTATGGAGCATCCCTCGTGCCATGCGATTTCGAATCGGTATTTGGACACTCGGGTTAGGCCAAGCAAGGTGGAGGGATTCACGTGGAGGTCCACTTGCACGATCGATGACCGAGACCCGATGATAGCTGGAATGTGAACGCCTACAATTGTGTAGGCCTGATTTGAGTGTTCATTGAAAGGCTTATCTTAGCTTATAATCGACTAAGTTGCTTGAGACGGTCAAGTCTAGTTCCTACCCAATCTCAAGTTCGCCTTGTCATTTGTCAGCATCCATATAGCCTGAGCTTGCTCATAGTGCAAAAAGTAATAAAATTCAGTTACGTCTAAAGCTCTTAGGTTTACTTCAGAGGGAAAACTTATTAAACGCCGAAATTTAGGTCTACGATCCCGGGAAGAGACTTTCATTTAATCCCATTGATGCTTTTGTTATTGAATACTCAGCTGTGGAGCAGCCAAGGCAGTTTTCCTGACATGATCAGCTTGACCAGTGATGTTGCATGGGAAGAGCGTTGCCCTTTATTTCAAATGTTATTTGGCCCTTGATGCAGCAGGAATGGAAGGAGGAAAGAAGGATGAAATAAATCAAATGTGCATGTGATGATGCAATAGAAGGGGAAAGATGGGGGAGGGGACCAATAGAAAAACTCACAATAATTTAAAAAATGATAAAAAAAAGCTTCCAGGATACAAATTGGGACAAAGGTGAAGACAATATGAGAATAAGCAGAGACAAAAACAAAGGCAAATTAAATAAAGTATAAGTTAATAAATCCATATGTGTTGCAAATGAGTGTAAACCCTCTGAGAAGTTAATAGTACATCTTCCAATGACTGTGAAATTTAAATCAAATTGAACACATGACTGTCCTGTATAACCTAAGCTAACACCATTGCCTTTGTGGTGTCACTTTGTTTTTTTTTTTATGTAATGGGTAGGTCTATACAGCCTTTGAGCTTTTGATTCTTATTGGTGCAATGTCACACTAGAAGGTTTTTCCATTATAAGCTGAATTGTTGGCCTAAATGAAGTTTATAATGTCTCTGGCTGTCCCTGAGGGTTTTGCTGGTTGACATCAATATCTCCTCTGATTCCATGCAGAAGATTGATTGTCAGATTGTCTTGATTCTTTGGAGGATTGATACTTACTTAAACCTGATTTTTCACCACAATGATACTCTTTTAAAAATCAAATATAAAAATGACTTAGATGTATAGATCTACTGTACTTATTTTATTTTAGTGTTAAGATTGACGTTTGCTGGGAAATTCACCATTCATAAGACGTGTGAGGATTGAATCCCAGTAAGATGACATGCAATGTTTATATTCATCTAGGTCACAGATGAATGGCTCCAGGCCGGCTGGTTGCTCTAAATGACACTGATTCATCAGAATATGACAGTGATCCTGATCGGCCAAAATTTCTCACCAAAGAAGCACAGGTCTGGCTTCTTTCAGCAATAGACCCACTACCTTTTCAGTTCCTTCCCCTTAAATTTTGTTTGGTCATCATGAGCTGCAATTAATTTCTTTTATTATTTTTGCTTGTTTCTCAGGAGAACGGAGCCTTCAAGAGGTACAACGATGCACTTTCATTATCTAGGGAGAAGAAGTATGAAGAGGCCAAGAGGATACTCATTGATGTGTTGAAAACCCCATGTCTGGCAGAGGTTAATATATTTTGTTAATGTAGCATTTATCTTGGCCCTCTTATTGACTTGAGACTTAGATCTGTCCTTGTTTCATTCTTTTGTGACCTTCAGATTAAAGCAGTTTCCTTGAAGGATGCCCATGGGTCCATCAACCCACTACATGTGCTCAAGTATTCATGCTACAAAAATCTGGGTTTGGCATGCTCCAATCAAGGAGATGTTGAAGATGCCATTGAATATACTTTGAAGGTAAAATGCTGAGAATTGGAATTACTTTCCAGTGGTTTTCTGAAGACTATACTGACCATTTTTTCCCTCAGGCTTTGGAACTGGATGGAACAGATGTAACAGTTTGGTATAAACTTGGGCAGATGGGACTGCAGGCAGAAGACTATGGACTGGCATCCAAAGCCTTCCAGAATGTTAGTCTGCCTTTTTTTCCCTTTAAATTTCATCCCTGAGATGCATCTCATTCAATGGTTTTAATGAAATGCAAGATTGGAAAGATTATTATGTGGTGATTAATCTTCTAGGGACTGGAGGTAAATCAAAATCATTGGCCCTGCTTGGATAAGCTTGTGACCATCCAGTATGCATTGAGCGACACTCTTGGATGCTTGGATCTGATTGCCTATGGGCTTAGTCGAGACCCTTACTTCCTGAAAGGCCTTGCCATTCGAGATACTATTTTCCAAGAAGCTCCCCCACTTAAAGACCTTCAAACCCAAATGTGGTGAGTGCATAGTTTACCTGAACATCTGAAAGTATTTTTGAGATCCTATCACCCACAAGAAATCATTTCATTAGCCACTATTTTGTTGTAATGCAGGAAAGACCTGGGGGTCTGGACTCCTTATCCTGAGGAGGAAGGACAGAAGTTTGTGAAAGAGGCAAAGGATATGCTTGAAAATGTTCGGAAGAAGGCTCAAGTGACAGATCCACCACCTTTGCCCTTGGATGTGTCAATTAGAAATCTATCATGGTTTGAGCTGGGCCAGAAGCTACTTTCCCTTTATTCTCAACAAGACCAGGGGAACCAGGTATGGACAGACAACCTGTTATTCCTCCCTGCCATTTCTTGTTGCTTGAGGATACAGGAATTCATGCACCTCCTTTCCTTAGACTTTGAACATTTGTATTGACGTGAGAAGCTGTATTGGAAAACTGGAAACAGAGCTTGAGGAGGAAATGAAAAAGGAGGAAGAGAAGAAACAGCTGAATGCAGAAAAAGCTGCTGCTGCTGCTGCTGCTACTGCTGGAGACTCAGAAAGCAAAGGGGAAAAGGAAGAACAGGAGCAAATATGTGCTGGCAGCCCTATTCAAAATGGGAAAGGTGAGATAAATGCATGCATTTCTACATTTCAGATGCCTGCAATCAAATGGAATTCACCTCTTTCAGTGGAAGATGAGGCAATGGAAGTTGATGAGGAAGATAAGAAAAAAGAGGCCGAAGAAGATCAAGAAAAGAAAAGACCTCCTAAGAGGAAACGAGAATTGGAACAGTTGCAAGAGTGGAGCTTTGTGAAGAGGAGATCAAATAGGATGCGAATGACCATGACATCTGCTCATAGTCGCCTCCTTGCTTCTCAAGAATCTAATTATGCAGCACTACTGCTGAAGTATTTGCCCCTCTCTCTGTAAGTTTCTGCTGTCGTGAGAAGTACGTACTAAAACCTTTTGAGATTTTAAGGCTCAATGTCTTTTCTGCATCAGGACTCAGTCCCTTGACAAGAAACAGTGTGAGAGAAGTGAAACAGCCTTACATGATACCTCATTACTGGCTTCTTCAGCTGATTCATCAGTCATAAACAGTGAAGACTCAAAGATGCAGGGAGAGGCTTGCATGGAAGATTCAACAGTTGGAGCAGAAGTCACGGAAGCCCAAAAAGGCTTCAGCCGTCGAGCCATCATTGACTTCATGGTGGCAGCTTGTGCTGAGGCCAATGGGAATCCCAAATTAGCAGAACTTTTCTTTCAGTATTGCATTCACGTGTCTCAGCTTGCTGGGAAATGGCCAAAGGACCTTGTTCGTGTATTCTTGCAGTGCTACACTCTTGCAAGGTGCATATAAGATTTCAGTTGTGAGCTTCCATGATCTGTCTACAATTTTCTGACCTTGATCTATCTTTGTTGTGATTTTCCAGGAGGCATAGAGTACCAGAAGTGAATGGTGCAGACCGTTTCCATGGTAACAATGAGGTACTGAGGTCACTGGAGCGTGAAGCCTGGCTCGTCCTGACACATGCAGAGCTCCTAGTGGACTCCCTTCTCTCAAAAAAGGAAGAGCATCAATCATGGGCCAGGTTCTCACAAAGAAGTTTTGCCTCTTAGAGATTCTTCAGAGAAATTTGAGTTCTGCTTCATTTCTAAGAATGCATGCTGATCTTCTCAAAGGGACAACCAGGGGAGACTGATGGACATAGATAGCTATGAATTTGGGGATGAGATGGGGATCATGATTCTTAGCATGGATCCCCAGGAGATCCTTAGAGATGCCTGTGATTCCTTTGGAATTCGATACACCAACTTGAAAGCCCAACTCGCCATGCATCGAGGATCAAAATATGAAGCCCTCTGCACCCTCAGACAGGTTATCAGACCCATCCTTGTGTACATGCACTTGTACATTTCCTGCAATTCTCTGCCCAACTGCATTATAATTATCATACACAAACCAAGGTATGTAACATGGAACAGGTCAATAGTCCAGCTCTATATACTTTATTTGTGCAAAAGGTTGAGGAAAATCCTTCCAATAAATGGCAAATTGCATTGTGTCTGATAAATGAGAAAATGATAATTTCCCTTGATCCTGTCTTGGGCATCATATGCCATCTCTATGACTTATCACCTCTTCATGGTCATGATGCAACATATTGGAATTTTTACCCTCTGCAGATTGAAGATGTTCTTTCTGAAAATCCCACCCAAGTCATCTCTCTACCCAACTGCACTTCATTCTCCTGCATCTCTATGGGGATGATCCGTGAACTAGTTGAAGAGCTTGAAAGGTAGGAATTAATATAGTCCATTAAGTTAGGATCATATCACTGACCTATTTTGATTGCTTTTCATCAATCCATGCAGGTACAACAACCTGACAGAAATTGTGATCTTGTACGAAGGCGCTCGATATGGTGATGTTGTTGAACTGTTGACTGATCCCTCTGGGAAGAGATTGGATCCTTTAGTGTTTGAGCATGTTTCCAATGATAAGTCTAGCGAGGTTCCCTTGCCAAGCAAAGCTCACATGCTCCGCATTCTTGTTGAATGTCTGGGGAAACTAAAGGCTTGGGCAGTAAGTCTCTTCCCACCATCAGTGTTTGTTGGGCTCAACTCAATTTTCCTCATCACAATTTTTTCCTTTCAGCAACTTCTTGAGCTCTCTCACAGTCTTCTGAGTGAAGGACTAAAGGTTTGGAATGGGAATGGCAATGGCAATGGCGAAGGGGAAGTTGAAGTTGCAGCTGTAGCTGTATCTGTATGTGGGAGAGAGCGAGATGAATGGACTGAATTCCTCATCTTTCTCATCAATGCCTTGGCCACTGCCATTCGAGAGTGCCCAAACATCTTGGGTTAGTTGAGTCTTGTTTCCTGTTATCTTGCTTGGTATTCCTAATATAATAGAGTGAAAGGTAGGAGTTGTTGTTCCATCCATAGATACATTGGAAAAGGGTGTGGTTGGGGAATTGAGTCAGAACCTCGTGAGGCTGATCCTGGTAAATCTGGAGCACCCTGAGGGTGTAACCCATCCTCCAATTAATTCAGTCAAGCCCTGGCTCATTCTCACTAATATCATTGCCAAGTCTGTCCCAACCTTCCATCCCTTGACAATAACTTGTCTGTGTCTCTGAGGTTCATTGTCTTGTTTTAATTTCCATTGCAACAGTGAAGTGAAGTCAGAGGTGAATGAGAAGGAGATCCCATTGCATCTGCTGCTGTTGTGTGATGCCCATGAATGCCTTTCCATGAGAGGTTGGTGCACTATCAACAATGGAGAGCTCCTTCTAGAGCTCATCAACCAACTCCAGTCATCATCTCTGCTCATGTCTGAATCCCAGCTTCGAACTGCCATTGAGCAATGCTTCTACTGCCTCTACTCACATCCCAGCAAGAAGTCCAAGGTTGTTTTTGAGTTATTAATTAAAAAATGGTTAGAAGAAGACTCACGCCTAAATACACTAACGGTCTATGATATTTGAAGACCTAGCTATAGCCTCAAGAAAAAATGAGGCTATAGCTAGGACTTCATACTTTAAATGCTATAAATTCATGATTATTAGAGGCCTTGATTAAAAACCACTTAGGTACGACAATTGGTCGACCATGGCTGTTCGGGAATTGCTCTGACCTGGGAGAGAGCCATTCCCCTGTACAACTATTTTCGGCCTCAGCAGTTGCCTGAGTTTGACTCTTATCGGGTGGCATCTATTTCAAGTGACTTGGAAGCTCTCTATAAACGCATAGCCTCTCTTGTCCCTCGAGATATTGATCCCAGTGAGTCTGGTTCCCCTTCCTTAATGACAATGATATGAATTAGTGTTAATGAATATGTTCTCCCCTTATAGATCAATACCTTGATGGACTCTTGGAATTTATATCTGGTGAGAAGAATGAATTACCAGAGGTCCCTGTACAAGAATCTAATTCCCCTATCATCTGGGATCTCTACTACCTTCTTGGTGATTACTATCTGAAAAATAAGGAATGGCAAAAGGCAATTAAGTATTATCAGCTTGACATCTGTGTGAACCAGTTTCGAGTGGATTCCTGGGCTGGACTTTCCCTTGCTCGAACTGGATGGCTTGAAACCAAGCTCAATTCTGTGAGTACTAACTTATTTTCATGGAAGTTGTTGGATGTACCAGTAAAGTTATGTTTAATTGTTTCCTTCCAAACCCAGTGTCAGCCAATTAAAGTGGATGGTGGGATTTTTGAGAAGACAGCAATGGCACTCAAGTGCTTCCAGCAGACTGTGGAGTTGGAGCCCAGCCTTGCCAAGATGTGGATTGAATATGGTTCTCTTGCTTACATGATGCATTCCTTTGCCTCCAAACAATTGAAGCAGGTCAGGAAATATCCATTGTGCTTGCCTTACCTATATACTAGAAGGCATTGTTGTACCTGCTTATTGCCTTCTGGTAAAACGAGTCCTCTTTTCTAGGATGAAGTGGTTGAGTCTCTCGGCCTGGAGGCATACCAGAGACTTGAGGAACAAAGGGATGATCTTCTTAAGAGAGCATACAGTTGCTTCGAGAAGGCACGGACTTTGACAGAAAAGGGGGAGGCAGAGACAGAGGAGGGTGGTTGGGATGAATCTTGGCTCCATTTTTTCATGATGTCCAAGATGAAGGCCAAGATGAATCCTGACAACGTCAGCGAGACGGTCGGATTGCTGTGCAAGGCAGAGAGGTGCCTCTGGGATGTGAATGCTGAATACCCACAGCGCATCTACTATCCTTCACCTCAGTTCCTCTCACTGGAAGCGCTGGAGGTGTTCTATCGCATCCATTCAACCATCCTCAAGGCCCTCATGGGGCATGAAGCCGGGCATACGCTCGACAAGGACACGCTCAAGTATCTGAACCATGTCCTGAAACTAGAATCTCGGGGTTGTTTTGTGGCTGGTTCAGAGAAGGGGAAAAATGGAGAAGGTCGGGCCATTGCGTCTGAGATCCTGGCAGATCTTATCGATGGCCTGGGCAAGCCATCTGCCACATTCAATCCACAAGGTTGAGCCCCAATCTTTTCCTTTGCAAGGAAATCCATCAAGTTATTCATGAGAGGTTATGGAATTGCAGGGGAGGAGAAACAGCTGGGAGAGTTGAAGGAAAAAGAGGAACCAATCGAACTTCCCAGAATGATACATGATTGCCTGGCTGGATTGAAAATGTGTATCACAAGATTCCCACATCACTACAAGTCCCTCTATCGCATGGCTTATTTTTATGCCCACTCACAGGTCTACAAGTAAGATGAAGTTTCCTTGTCTATGCCTATTGTCTTCATTACCTCCAAATACATACTACATGTCTTCTTAACAGGATGTTGAACTGGAGTCGAGACATTCTCTTAGGTGTCAACAACTGGCAAGCTGTTCCTTGCATGGCTTCCCCTGGCCTGTTTGCTGACAGGAAGAAGAACAATTTTTTCAATGTAGCCCTTTTTTCCCCCCTTTTTTTCCTTCTG